CTTTTATCTTCTTCTAAACGGAAACTACGAGGATTTAATGGATCCAGGAGATCATAAACAGTGAATGTACCTGTACCACAAAGGATGATTTTAAGCTATAACAACAACAGTTTCAAGCCATTAGTCCTTAGCTTTCTGAGGACCTTTAGAAAGGCAGTCTACACTACCCGACGTGGTAGGCTCAAATTGATAATCAAAGCTTCATGGGATTGATGCCAATTTTCGATTTAACCACCACTAACTTTTTTCCAACCTAATCATATGTTGACTAACATCTCCCAAGGAGGGTGATGGCTAGCCGTGCGTAAAGTCTCCTTGAAACCTTATCGATTTGCTAGAGGTCCTTACATAACACTACTCCTAACATTAATTTTACTAACAATCTTAAATCATTTAGCAAGAGCGACAGAACTTGTACATTCAACGTACAGGTCAGCTAATTTATTTATACCCTCCAGTTTCAATGGCCATGTCTCATAGCCGAAATGAATGGAACGAACTCATGCACATTGCAGATGTCCTTTAACCGATAGCCAGACAAAGATGAAATAAGTTGACAAATAATACACAAACCTTTTCTGCTAGTGCTGAGATTTCATTAGCAATCAGTTGATTGGGGCTGATGAAACCTCCTAAATGAAGTGACCGAACACTTCAATAGCCACACCAATCCAACAGCATTATCTGTGTCGGTGAATCGCATGCAAAACATAAGAAGACTTCCGCTTAAGATGTTCAGAAAACTATAAGTAATTTGTCAGTATCTTCATCTAAAAAGACAGTATAATCAGCATACTCTGAGTCGATGAGACTGTTCTCTGGCAACAAGTCGATCATAAAGTTGCTAAAGTTAATTGAACTCATACACATTAGTACATATATGATGAAGAATCACAATCTGCACGTCAAAAGATATCACATATATTAATGACACAACGAAATATAACATCTAATCTCACCAAACAAGAATATGAAGTCTTAAGAAATTTGAAAGGAAAAGGCATCGTTATAACTAAAGCCGACAAGGGAAACGTTACTGTAATAATGAACTGGACAAATTATGAAAAGAAGGTGATTGAAATCTATCCGATGGACCATACTTACTCACTGAAGAAAAGAAACAATTTACCGAAATACAAGCAGACTTCTTCAAGAGATGAAACCCAAAATTAGAAATCTTCTCTGGTTTAAACTAAAACCAAAATAATATGTACCACCAAGATTCTACAGTCAATCAAAGATACATAGACCCACAATTCCACTAAGACCAGTAGTAGATTTCACCAAATCACCAACATACAATCTCTCTAAATACTTATTTTCGATACTACAACCACTGCAGAAGGACACTCAAAATATTGGAAGAAACTCATATGATTTCAAATCCCACATACAACACCGAGAAAATGATGAAGCTATGATATTAACTCATTATATACTAGTATCCCTATTCCCGGAAGTCTTGATATCATTTCCAGTCTACTAGAATCGGACACAACGCTATCACAAAGATGTCCACTGGACACCAGTGAAATAATTAAGAGCTTGAAATTTTGTCTTGAAAGTAATTATTTTACATTTAAAGGGAGTTTATATAGAGAGGCAAATGGTGTTGCTATGGGTTCACCAGTTTTCCTAACAGTCGCTGACCTTTTCATGAATAGATTGGAAGACAACACCTTTTCAAGCATACTCAACGCCTAAATATGGTTAAGATACTTTTGTAGTGCTAAAACGTGATCTACACAGTTCATTCTTGAAGAGAGTAAACAATCTATCTCCCGGAATCCAGTTTACTACGGAATCAGAATCAGACGTCGGTAAACTACCCTTTCTACATTGCCTGGCTAGTTATGAAGGGGGGGACGGACATTTTGGTTTATCTATATTCAGAAAGAAAACCCACTCCAACAAATATTTAGACTTCGGATCATCATACCTCACCAGCTCAAAAGTATCAGTTGTTTCAAGTCTTCTTTGACTAGCACACTTTTTGATGTTAACGGATGAGAAAGAAAAAGAAATATCAAGCATTACTGAGACTCTCAAGGAAAATAACTACCCAAAGAACTTTATCAACAAAATCAACACTCACATTAAGTATGGTTGAAAACGTGTTCCGAAAACATGGACCTCAACAGTTGTCATTCCATATAGGGTGGAGATATCAGACGACATCAGGAGAGAACTCAGCAAGCTCGACATCAGAGTTTCCTTCAAAATATCAGACACACCGCGAAGCAACCTTGTCCATATAAAAGACCAAATCCCTAAAGATTCCCTATTTAATTGTGTCTTGATATATATATATATACATATATGATGGTCTCTCTTTCTGTTGCTCTCTTAGTCTGTGACCATTTCACTTTGATGAACCTGTCTCCTTTAACAATGTATGTTCCCCTTATATTATATATAATATGTATGTTTGTTGACATGTCTGCTATATTTTGCTATGTATATAAGGATCGATACTCCATTATAATTAGCCATTCATGTTAAGACTGTCTATTGATTTGTTCACACACTTGTCTGGACATTAATATATATATATTGCATTCACATTCTTGTGTGACTTGATTCTCCTGGTGTTTTGGAAAATAGAAGTATCATCGCAAACCTAGTGGTCTTCTGATTTCCGTCTTTCTTGCGTCAGGACTATTAAATTGTCGACCAGTACAACATAATAATTTGGCGACGAGTACATAACATGTCTATAAAATAAAATGTTTGGAATCTGATGCAATCTACATCGGACAAACATCGCTAGTAAGAAATCAAAATCAGAAGAAATGAACACCGTAGAGCATCTGTTCGACCACTGAGAAATCCAGCTGAACTAGGAAAGCCTGAAAAATGATCAGCTATAAGTGGTCTACAAGCTGTAGGATCAAGTGACAAAATTGATTGTGAAAATATTGAAATAGTCCAGAAGAATTTCAGAAATCACAAACAACGTCTAATATCAGATGTACTTCATATCAAATGGAATCCAAATTATCTGAATAGGAATGATGGAGTAAAACAGAATTTGACCTGGTTACAACACCCCTCTCCCCTCCCCCGTGAAACGAAAAAATCAACACGAATGCGACAAGCAATTTCATTATGTAAACACAAGCTGTTTTTACAGTTTTATACGCTTATCAGATCCCACAATCTATACCTGGTTTTGTCATCTTTACCAATTGGCCAACTAGACAAACACGTAAAAGTTACCCCCTGCTGATGAACGGTGATTAAGTTGCTGTATACGTAAGCTGAGATTTTGTTAATTTTGGTTTAATATCACTACTTTGATAAAGCTGTTGGCAGCATTAAATAGCGAAATGTCAATAAAACTAGCAATATCGTTTTGTCTTTCATTCATTGTGAAATACTGAAACTTTTATACTATTAATGAATATCATATACAGAATGCCCAAATTTTTTCAAACTGTTAAAAGTGATCTTGCTTTGGACGCATATAACGTTTATGGTGAAATTCAGCTAAAGTATGGACAGTTAGCGTCTCTGTCGGACGCTACTTGTTGTCATTACTTCAGATGACAACTCTTCAGAATTTCTAACACCGCTGAGTGAGTTCGAGTAGAGTGACACGGTTACTTTCTAACCAACCTCTTTATGACCGAAAATTTTCACAGCACCATTCGGTCGACGGAGTGAAATACCATTTTCAAGTTAAGACGTATGACAAGTGTTGGACGCCAGTGAGTATGATCATGTTCGAAAATCTGCGGAAGAGTGACGATATGGTCAAAACACCATCTTCCTGTCTGGTTTTTACGAGTTTGTTTCTCCTAAGCATCGCTCAGTCTACGCATGAGTGCTGAATCTGAGATTCCGGATGCAAATTGCCCCCGCGCCCTATGATTATCATAGGAAGACTTATCTCCCTTCTTATAAACTAGGGTAATCAACAGTACACATGAGTCCAAAGAGATGACGCCTGGTTCCCACACATCACCCCATATCTTAGTTATTCCAGTCGATGGATCATCACCATCCCTAAACACCTCGGGAATCATACCATTAGGCCCAGCTGCTTTGCCTCGTTTTAAATTAGAAACAGATTTTGTAACCTCAATTATACTAGGAAGACTTATTTTCACATTTTACTCAAGTGTGTTAAGTTCTAGGCAAATTGAGCATGACTGCAGAACAGTTGAACTGCTCGTCGTAGTATTCCATCCAACAACCCAGTCGTCTTTCCTGAGACATAATTAAAGCACTGTTTTACTTGGAAATCATTTAGCTTATCACTGGCTCTTAACAACCCATTCACCCCAATGAATCAAACAAATGTCTGGTGTTACCTACCGATTATGCCTTTTCCACCGATTTGGCTTTTTTGCTCACCAACCACTTATCAAGAACTTTGAGGAGACTTTTTGTCAGTCCGCATTTGAACAGCTTTCGCTCTATACCATGTTCGGACGACGCCGGAATCAATCTTCTTGAATCTATCCGTTTGAATGAGGTAGCAGAAATCTACTGTTTTAGGTTATCAACAAGCTTTATTTTTAAAAGTGATTAAGTATTATGTCAGGCTTTGTCAGGATGCATCTTGCTGTTAATCTAAGATACGCGTTTAGTTATTTCTATACTAAATAAAGACTAAGTCCCCGTCAAACTGGTAGCGTAGCAGTTTCGTCGCTGTCTGCCTTCTGTGTTCTCTCAGTTATCACTCAATGTTCTGTATAAAAATATGCCCTATATGCACGTAAAAAGGTAAAGGCCACTTTAAGCTTACCCCCTATGGTTATTTCTGTCTACTAGTTAATCAATAAGAACACTCAAGAATTGAAGTTCAGTCTTAAAAAAAATTGACAGCCGCCTTACATCTGATGGCTTTATATGAAAATATGAAATGTTTTCTTTATAAACAAAGAACAAAAACAAATAAACACATTCGAAAGTAAAAGGAACGATTCTGGTTGAATGAAAACCAATCGATTCACGGATTGCCAAATCACAAGTTGAAGCATAGATAAGATTGATTACCGACGTTTCGATAAACCAACACCAAGACCAATACCCAATAAGGCAGCTGCTCCCAATACAGCACCTCCAACAACTGCTAAACCAGTAAGGCCATCTGAAATATATTTAGAAAAAAAGCTAGGCATCACTACATGATGTGAACTGATCTGAAAGTAACATCTACAATACACAGTATCTTCACTTATAAAATGACTGTTTGTGATATACATGTAACTTCATAACATGAGAATTTTAACGTAAAGCATTAGTTAGTAGAACAGAAAAACCCACAAAGATCCATATACGAGTATTAGGATGAATTAAAATTAAGAAATACAACTTCACAATTTTATGATTATCTACAAATTTCGTTTCATAATTAACCTATTAGAAAAGCATCAATGAGCAACATAAAATTGAAAGCGATTATACTTAAGCACCTTTATTGAATTGAAATGGTATTGTACTAGTTAGTTTACACTAATTATAGTCTGATGATAAACAGTAGCTGTGAGTATTTAATTGATGGATGGTAACTAGCAATGGAATCCAGGACAACGCGCATTTCGTCCTATTTGGGACTCGTCATCTGGATGTACCTGCATTTCTCAGTGAGTGATGATGTTCCCACCGATGCTGGAACCCAGTGTCCATAGCTTCAAACGCCAAAGACCACTTGGGCCACGAAAGCCACCTCTGCTAATCATCATTCACCAGTTAACTTCTAATTACTTGCTCAGACATGGTCGAAGCATCTGCACAAGAAGCCGACTTGTCAACCTGAGACCGAGCACTTCAGTCCAATCAATCGACGGGAAAATCAAAAATTCAATTAAAGCTGTGACTATTAATACAGGATGTCTTAAAGTGACATTCAAGGACATGTACTGAAAGCATGCAACGTAATGCAACTTTCAGCAACGAATTTTCATGTAAACGACGACTAACTGATCCTACAGTCTGTATAAGTTGATGTCACTATTTAAGCGTTTAGACCTTACTATATAGGACTATGTTTGAATTTTCAACCATCGAACAACAATGGTTGGTAAAAATATTCCTGTAAGTCCTACCAAACCGGAATGATCGCATAGATGGTGGTTAAGCTGAAAGTAGCTACCACCAAAAGATAAATTGCCTACTTACTTGTATGAGTCTAAGGGCGGAGGCGTACTGCTGATGGGTAGGAGTTTAACAGCAGTAAACAGTATCTTTCCGATAGGATGCTATAACACATGTTTTTTTTAATGCAACCTTCTGAAAATTTTGACCAAAGATCTGGGTTTGTCTGACATGTGATACAGTCATACCAAATGCAAAATGATGCTTCAAAATTGTACTAAGGTCCAGTTTAAGAACAGGGGATGAAGTGGTTGAATGTGTGTTATACCTATCTTGAAAATAATAATTCAGCTTGAATGAACTGACTGATTGACTGACTGGTTTGCACAATATGCAGCAGTTCGAGTCACTACACTTCACTCAGCACACAAAGTCACAGAAGAAGAAGAAAGTAAAGAGAGATATGAGGCAAAAAAAGTAGTAATATCGAAGAATATAGTGTCACTGGATATGTCACAAGTGGATGCATTTGAGCCATTGAGAACGATTTTGAGCCATATCATCAATTGCATGGAGGATTTAATCATGAGCTGACATCAGTTAGAGAACCACTGGAAAACCTGGGAGTACTGGACAGCCGTTTCGTCCTGGTTTGGGACTCCTCAGCAGTACGCACCCACCGGGATTCGAACCCAGGACCTTCTGGTTACAAGGCGAGCTCGTAGACCATTGAGCCACTGTGACCCGATCCAATGGTCGCCTTGTAACCAGAAGGTCCTGGGTTCGAATCCCGGTGGGTGCGTACTGCTGAGGAGTCCCAAACCAGGACGAAACGGCTGTCCAGTACTCCCAGGTTTTCCAGTGGTTCTCTAACTGATGTCAGCTCATGATTAAATCCTCCATGCAATCAAACAAAATCCCTACAAAAACCAATACTTGAAAATATCATCAATTGTCTATAGTCATTGGTGTTTACCGTCCCGAGGACTCCAAACAGCCAGGAAGTCTACATCTTCCTACGTGGCCTAAACTAACTATTGTGGATTTCATTGACTGATGAAGCCATGTCTTGGTTTGACCACCACCAGCTAACTCTTTTCCAATCCGATCCATCCCATGTTAGCTAACATTGCCCGTCGGTAGAGGAACGCGGTGGCTAGGCATCCGAAACACATGCCACAACCATCTCAATCAGTGTAACTTCATAGCCTCAACGACTGGTTTCGTATCCTTACCAAGCACTCGACCGATCCCTCACCTCAATACTGCTCACACTATTATACCACTTCATACGGGAGATAGAACTCTGTCTGTCTGTCTGGATTCAACATAGAACTTGGCACCGAAGTGCAGCAGTTCGAGTTGCCACCTTCCAAATAGCACACAGAGGTAGACAAGAAGATGAGTGAAGAGAATCAATACAGTCTGACAAGTATAAGAGTGAAACAGAATGGGTAATGGTAGAAAGGAATATGAAAGATTACAGAGACTGAATACATCTGCGCCATTGACAACGATTTTGAGCCATCTCACCTATTGTCTCCAGCCATTGATTCCTAGAGTCCCGAGGGCCCCAACCCGGGAGTCTGCATCTCCCTACCTGACTCAGTTTAACTGTCAAGGATTTCATGGATTGATGCCACGTTTTTGTTTGGCCACCACTGGCTCTTTTCCAACCTGAACCTATATCAGCTAACAATGTCCGTCGGGGGAGGTGGTGGTTAGGCATGCGCACCACGTGACCTAGCCATCTCAGTCTATGTAACTTTATAACCTCGTCGATTGATTTTCCCTCTTTGCCCAACACTCTACGCCTAACGTCAACATTACTTACCCTATTAAACCACCTAACGTGAGACAGAGATCGCAGACATCTATGATCGAAAGCAGTCAACCTTTTCATGTCTTCAACTCGTATTGGCCATGTTTCAGAGCCATAGAGAAGGACGGAGCGAACTGATGAGCAGTACACACGTCCCTTGGTTGATAACCGGATGTCACGCCTACGCCAGAGATGGTGTAAGTCAGCGAAAGCAGCTCGAGCTTTTCGGATCCGTGCTGAGATTTCATCGCCAATCAGTCCGTTGGTGCTAATACAACTTCCCAAGTAGGTGAAGTGGTCAACATGTTCTATCACTTCACTCCCTATCACTAAGTTAGGGGTTGACGTCGTCCAGTCCTGTAGCAGCATCTTACATTTTGCAGGGGCGAATCGCATGCCAAGCATACGAAGATTGCTGCTCAAGGTGTTCAGAAGACTCTGCTGCATTTTGTCAGCATCCTCCCCTAACAGGACTATGTCATCTGCATATTCTAAGTCCATAAGACTATTCCCTGGTAACAAGTCGATTCCTAAGTCATTACGTTCAGTTAAGGATAATTCCATCAGCATATCTATGATGAAGTTAAACAGAAATGGGGAAAGTGGACATCCCTGTCGGACACCACTGGTTGTTAGAACGCAGGCACCTATGGTCAAAGACAGCTAGCCTTTTCATGTCTTTCACTCTCCATAGCCAGGTCTCATAGCCATAAAGGAGGACGGAGCGGACTGTTGAGCAGTACACATGCCCTTTGATCGATAGTCGGATATCATGTCTACACCAGAGATGGCGCGTAAGTTGGCATATATGTTACACATACCTTCTTTATTCGAGATGAGATTTCGTCACTGATCAACCCGCTGGCACTAGCTGATGCAACTTCTCAAATAAGTGAAGTGGTCAACACACACCACCAACTACTTCACCCCCTATCTTTAAGCTAGGAGTAATCTATATAGTCCAGTCCTGTAGCATCATCTTGCATTTGACTGGAGCGAATCGCATACGAAACATTCGCAGATCGCTGCTCAAGGCGTTCAGAAGACTGCTTTTTGTCTGTACCTCCACCTAGGAACAGGACTATATCACCAGGATACTGTAAGTCAACGAGATTATTCCCTGCTTGTAAGAAGTCAATCCCTGAGTCTCTGTATTGAGTTAGGGTTAAGTCCATTAGTGCATATATGATGAAATTAAACAGGAATGCGGATAGTGGGCATCCTTGACAGACACCACTGGCTGTCACCACTTCAGATGATAGCTCTCCCTTCATAGGCTCTCACCCAGCTGCATGAGTTTGAGTGCCTTGATCAGTGCGATGTTCTTCGTTACCACTATTCCTTTGTCTCACACCTCTGTTTACTGTCTCTATTATGCATTTCTTCTACTTTCTCCTCTTGCTTCGTGTGCTACATGAAGTGTGGCGACTTGAACTGACGCACATCAGTGCAAAGCTTTATGTCGAAAACAGACACACAGATTTTCTCGGCATTCCCTTTACAGACAAACATCGCCAGAGTACCTCTCGGTCGACAGAATCGAATGTCGCCTTTAGGACAAGAAATATAAAGATTTTCGGACGCCGGTATGCCTATGTTCCAGAATCTGTCGAAGGGTGAAGATATGATCAATACACCCTCTTTTGGTCTAAAGCCTGTCTGGTTCTCTCGTGTTTGTTCTTTCCGAGTATCGACTAGTCAGCGCATGATTATTGAGCCTAGGACTTCAGTTAGCATATTAGTCAAGCTAATCTCCCTGTGATTATCACAGGAAGAATTGTCTCCCTTCTTGTATATCGGGATAATCAATGACTTATACCAACTCGACCGAAAGCTGCTACCTTGACGTGGTGGTCGGGCTTGAACACCGCAATGATCTATTCAAGCTATACTGGCTGAGACTTATGTCTCTTGAGGTACTACCATGCCAGGCAGGTTGTTTGGATAGCGGTTAAACAAAAAGCAGCTACCCAATCCAACATCATGTCCAATACAAAATCACAAAATTTCATGCCGGATCGGCCGTGGCCCGGATTAACAACGACCGCGCTTCCTGCTGCCGTGTCACAGGGCAGGAGTGATAAATCTGCTACTGAGACACACCAAACAAAAAAGAACGAACAAAAACAGGCCGCGTGTGACCGGCCTCAAGCAGTTGTCCCCTGGGCTCTGCGGTCACGCAACCAACTTCCACGGTGTGGGCAGCCGGGAAGTAACAATCGCCCTCACAA